AGCTCCTCCTGGTCACAAGGGTGGATGAAATCGAAGATGCTGTGTCCTATCAGCTCCAACTGGGGGAGGGGGGAAAAAAATCACAGCCAGTGTTGGAAGGGGGGGGGCACCCTATGCCAGACCTGCCCCCCCCCCCCACTCCACTCCACACTCAGCGCCTCCCCTGCAGGCCCCTGGTCCCTGCCTACCAGAGCAGGGCAACCAGCTGATGGATTAACACTCCCCCACCTCCCCCCCACAGAGCAACTCCCCCCCGCCACTCCTTTCCCATTCCCAGTGGCGGCCGCGGAGGGGATCCCAGAGTGGGGCCGGGGATGGAGCCCCCAGCCCTGCTCCCTGCCGGTGGGACACACACACACACACACACACTCACTCACCTGGGTCAGCCCCAGGTGCTTGCTGACATTCTCCGACAGGTACGCCATGTCGCCCTCCTCCGTCAGCACCATGACGAAACCGTCCAGCGCCTTCAGGTAACAGGCGTCCACCTGCTCCGGCTGCCCGCGCCACTCCTCTGCCGGCCACAAGCACAGGGGTCAGGGCGGGCCCCCCGCCCCGGGGCAGCCAGGGGGGGGGAGCAGGGCTCTAACGGGGGAAGGGGCAGGTTCCAGTCTGCCCCACAACCCTCCCCCAGTGATAAGAGACCCCTGGTGCCCTCCATCGGGGCCCATCCAGCCTGGTATCTCTCTCCCTTCCCCCCCCCACCAGCTCAGACCCATGGGCCCCTCCAGCCCGTGCACAGCAATGGCCAATCCCGGACGCCTCCGCACCAGCCAAGTCTCCCCCACGATGCCCGGAGGGGACCGGATCCCCTTCCTGACCCTGACCCCACCGGCACCCTGAAGCCTGCCATCCCATTGGGCCCGCCCGGCTGCTGGGAGCAGGCAGAGCTGGTGCCGCCCCTCGCCCCCGTCCGAGCGCCGGCGGGGAGCCGGGAATGTCCTGGCACCCAAAGGTGGGGAGGGGGCCTCACCCGAGGTGATGAGTTTGTGCATCCGCAGGTAACTGATGGTGAGGCGCATGATGGAGGCCTTGTCCAGGTGGGCGCTGACCCCCCGGGCGAAGGGCAGGGTGTGGGCCAGCTGGTAGAACACTTCCGTCTCCTTGCTCCGCCGGCATCGCGCCGCGTCCCGCGACTTCTCTTTGCGGAGCTCCGTCGTAGACCGGCTGCCGGGGTGGGGGGAGAGAGAGAGAGACACACACGGCGCCAGGTCAGGGCACCTGCTCCGGGGGGATGCTCGTTCCCCCCTCCGGCACACACACGCCAGGCCCCAGAGCGAAGCCTGACACCTGAGTTCTATCCCCGGCTCTGGGAGGGGCGTGGGGTCTAGTGGTTAAAGCAGGGGGCTGGGAGCCAGAACTCCTGGGTTCTATCCCTGGCTCTGGGAGGGGAGGGGAGTCTAGTGGTTAGAGCAGGGGGATGGGAGCCAGGACTCCTGGGTTCTATTTCCAGCTGTACTGATGACTGGTTTGATTTTGGGAGGGGAAGGAAGGCTTCATGGTCTGACCCCACTAGCCCCCCACCCACCCACGCCAGACATGGCTCCCCTGATTGTACTCAGCCAAACAGGGTCATCCCAAGCCCTGTTCACCCAGCTTCTCCCAGGGCCCCTCGGAATATCCCTGTGGGGGAGGGGGGACAGAGCAGGGGGCCAGGGCAGCCCCCTGCACCAGGACACCCCCCAGAGCCCCCCACAACCAGAAAACCCCCAACACACACCACCCCCCAGCAGCTGCAGGGTTGCTCAGAGCCAGGTCCCGCATGGGGTCCCAACAGACCGTTAATATTAGGGGTGGGGACCGGGGGAGGGGGCAAAGGGAGATGTGGGGGAACCTCGAGGGGAGCGGGGCAGTGTGTGATGAGGGGAGGGGAGTCTAAGCCAACTATGCATAGGA